CTTTCTCCCTCCCTCCCTCCCTCCCTCCCATCTATCCCTATTGTTGCTATTATTATCGTTATTCTCTTTCGTGTTACTTTTTTTTTTTTTTTTTTTTTTGTATTATGGTGATGGTGATGATGATGATGATGATTATAATTATAATTATTATTATTAACATAATTATTAATATTATCATTACTGTTGTTATCATCATCATCATCATCATCATCATCATCAATGGTATTCGTATTATTATTACTATTACTGTTACTATTATCAACACAATTGTTATCACTATTTTTATCGTTGTTATCGTTATTTCTGAATATAACAAACTCTGAATTCATTCCATTATTCCAACTGGCGCCCACAAGGTAATAAAAGTGAAAAAGACAAAAGAAAGGAAATGGTAAAAAAAATACAAACGACCCTTAAATACCGGAACACAACCGCCCGCAGCAATTAAAAAATCTGGTGAAATCTGAACACTCCCAGATGTCTGGGTTGCCAAAATCGCTCTTTTTCCCCCGGCACAATAGTACAACTCGACCCTCCCTTCCCCCCTGCCACACCCTTCCTCCCTCCCTCCTACCCTACCGTCACCCCCCACGTATTGCCCGGGGGAGGCGGTATGCAAATCAACTTCCTTTCATCATATTATAAGCGGCGGGAACGTCAAAGGTCCAGGTTAAGAAGCAGGAAGAAAGCGCGGGGAAAAAATGTGATATGGCGTCCAGCTCTTTTGTTGGTTATTGTATTCGGCCTCTGCGTGTGGCGGGGGGAAGGGGAGAGGGAGGGAAACAGGGTGGTGGAGGGCGGAGGGAGGGTGGTGGAGGGCGGGAGAGCGTGGGTAGGCGGGGGGAGGAGAGGAGGGAGATAGGGTGGTGGAGGGAAGGAAAAGGTGGAGGGGAGAGAGGAAAATGGAGTGATTGTGTTTAAGGGTGTTGGGACATAAGGGGGAAACGGTGGTGTAATTCTATAAGGGAAGAGAGAGAGAGGAGAGAGAAAAGGAGAGAAAGCAAAAAAAATTAAAAGAAAATAGGCAGCAGAAAAGAAAGAGAGAGAGGGAAAGGCATAGGCAGATATACAGAGAGAGAGAGAGAGAGAGAGAGAGAGAGAAGAGAGAGAGAGAGAGAGAGGAGAGAGAGAGAGAGAGAGAGAGAGAGAGAGAGAGAGAGAGAGAGAGAGAGAGAGAGAGAGAGAGAGAGAAGAGAGGAGAGAGAGAGAGAGAGAGAGAGAGAGAGAGAGAGAGAGAGAGAGAAGAGAGAGAGAGAAGAGAGAGAGAGAGAGAGAGAGAGAGAGAGAGAGAGAGAGAGAGAGAGAGAGAGAGGAGAGAGATTTTGATCTAGAGAGAGGGAGAGAGAGAAACTTTATACGTGCCGAAGTGAGAAAGGGGGAGATTTAGCCGCATCAGGGATGACCGACCATCAGAAGAAAAAAATAAAAGAAAAAGAAAATAAAGAAAGGAAAGAAAATAAAATAGAAGAAAAGACAAGTGTGAACAAGGAGGCTAAAAGACCGTAACGAGGGGATAGAAGCGAGGGCGTAGAATAAGGTAAAAGGGAAAAGGGAGGCAGAAAAAGGGTTGATAAAACAGGGAGAAGAAAGACGGGTTAAAGAGTGCGAGGGCGTGACTCCAGGGTGAGGGAGGGAGATTGAGGGAGTAAATGGGCAAGGGAGGAGGGAAAGGGCGAAGGGTGTGTTGACGATAAGGGGTGAAAGGGGTGAGAGAGGGTTACTAAGTGTGAAGGGGGGGAGGGTGCAAGGAAGGGAGAACGGTAGAGAGAGAAAAAAAAATTGATAGACAGAATGAAAGAAACAGACAAGTAGACAGAGACAGATAAGGAGCTTAGGCCCAATGCGTCACACTAGAGAGGAAAGAACAACAAAGAAAAATAATAAATATAAGAATCAAATTTGAGAAAACGCCTAGAGGAAAGATGAAAAGATGCTTACAATAGCAATTAATTCTCCGAACGATCAAGAAAAAAAAACATGAACCATCATTCACGGTAGACGAACTAAAGAAAAAAAATGGGAGATAACAAGAATAACCAATAACCAAACAGCCTCGTCCGTCAAGAAGATAAAGATAGGAGGCATGACGTCTTGATGGAGTGTGGGAGAACTGTCAAGCCTGTCACGAGAAGCCTACAAAGCCCTCGTTACGGCGACTGTCCTCCGGTCTTGTCTGTCATTCATAAAAATCCGTCAGCTGATCAGACAAATAAGGAGTAGAAGGCTGTTGTCTGATTGCTCTTAAAAAGACACACACGGAAGAAAACGAGAGAAAGATGGAATTAGGAAGGGAGAAAAGGAGAGAAAGATTTTTTTTTTTTTTTTTTTTTTTTTTTTAGGTTATGCGAGTTCCACCCTTCAGTCTATAGGAAGGGAAATGACATTATCCCATTAATCTCTATGATCCGGGCTGAAGGGTTGAGTCCATATGAAAAGAGTGTAATGTGAAACCAGTTTTTTGTGTGATTATGGCTTCTGCCTTATTTATATTGTGATTGACGTGCCATCTGCCTCTGCCGGGCGCCTCGTGTTATGATTATTTTGTCTGATTTCCATGCTTGATTCCGCCCTCGCTTTGTTCTCTCTCTCTCTCTCTCTCTCTCTCTCTCTCTCTCTCTCTCTCTCTCTCTCTCTCTCTTTCTCACCTCTAACTTTGTCTCACTCTCTCTCATCTATACTTTTCTTTCTATTTTCTTCATATTTTTAGTTCCCCTTCTATTTTTCTCTTCTCCCTCACTCACGCCCATACATACTTATTCAATCTAGTATTATCCAAAAGAAAAAGAAAAATAATTTTTAATCTATGGCCATATAACGAATGAATAGAAGAGAGATAAAATCGATAGACAGGCATATGGATCGATAGATAGATATGCGAGATATGGCGAGACTTTGCGAGATGACCATCCAAACGGTCACGTGACCAGCCCTCACCGGGACGGGTAATGGCGCGAGAGTTCGCTGAGAAGGAACGATTATCGCGCCAGACAGATCATAAAAGCAGATATTGGAGCGATCAGAACTCAATAACATGACCCGGGAAATGAGGAAATTATCTACTCCTTTCAAACGACCTTATTCCCCCGCCCTCATTTCCCCTCATTTCCCGCCGGCGAGGAGAGGAGAGGAGGAAAGTCTTGAGGAGACTCTCCCTCGAAGCGAAGGCGGGGAAGCCAAAGGCGCCGCCATGTTTGATGATGACTTGGGTTGTGTCTCCGTCGTCGCTGCGTTTAATGGATTGCCGTGTTGTCGCCCACGCCCTCGCCAGTGGGTGGGCGTGGGCGGGTGGGGGAAGGGGAGAGGGGAGGGGTTAATAAGCTGGACAATGGGGTAGGGGGTTAATGGAAGGTAGTGGAGGGGGCTCGGAGGGGGGGGGGGGCCCGACTTCTCCGATGGACTGCTTTACTGCGTTTCTTCTCTCTCCTTCCTTCTGATTAGGTTTTGTTCTTTTCTTTCTTTCTTTGTTTCCTGCTTGGACAATCATCGGTTATTTCTAGCTAATCAGCAGCCTTTTCCTCTTATTCTTGCTCCTTATATTCTTGTTCCTTCTCCTCCTTCTCCTTCTACTCCATCTCCTACTCCTTCTATTCCACCTCCTACTCCTGCCCCTCTTCTTCCTCCTCTTCTTCTCCCTCTTCCTCCCCTTCCCTCCCTTCCCCTTTTCTTCTTTTTTTTTCTTCTTTTCTTCCTCCTCTGCCTTCCCTCCCCTCCCCTCCCTCATCGCCCTCCCTCACACAGCAGGATTCCATCTCGTTACCGCCTGTTGCTTTGGGTTTGTTGTTCCCTTCTTCTAATTCCTTCAACCCCTTCTATTCCCTCTTATACTTCTCCCGTTTCCCCTTCCTCCTTCCTACCCACTCCCACCTCCCTCCTCCATCCCCTTCTTGTTCCTCCCCTTTCTCCTCCTTCTTCCCCCTCCCTCACCACCATCCCCCATCTTCCTTCTTCTCCCTTTCTCCATCTTCCTATTTTCTCCCCCTTCCCATACCCCCCTTTATCCCCCATCCTCTCCCCCCCCTTCATCCCCCTTCCCCTCCCCCTACCCCCCTTCCCCTCCCCTTCCATTTCTCCTTCTCCCTCCCATACCTTCCCCCTTCCCCTCTTCCCTCCCCCCTTTCGTTCCCCTCCACCCGCGCCCACACCCACCTCTCTTCTCGTCCTTTTCACGCCCATTTATGCGCCCGCACGCCCGTCCGATCTAACCAGGCCGCACGCCCATCATTCGACCTCCTCCGCCCTCTCGCCCTTCCCCACCCTCAAGCGACTGCCAGTGAATAGATTTTGGGTTTATCGTTATCTACACTTTTATTATTGTCGATGTTATCTCCTGGTTCGTTTATCTATTATTAGATTGCGTGTTTGGTTTTATTCGTGCTGCTATTCGGTTATTATTTTTATATGTTATTATTATTAATTTATATATGTATTTTGTTTTTTGGTGGGGTGGGGTGGGGTGGGGGCCTAGAGGTTGTTTCGTCATAGTTTTTCCTCAATATGTGTTTCTTCTTTCTTTTATTCTTGCTCTTGTTTTTCATGTTATATCATTAAAAGTTTGACATTCATACATACAAACGTACATACACAAAAACACATACGTGCGTACATACATGCATACATAAATACATACATACAGACATATGTACATTCCTACATATATACACGCACACGTACATACATACACGCACACATACATACATACATACATACATACATACATACATACATACATACATACATACATACATACATACATACATACATACATACATACATACATACATACATACATACATACATACATACATATATAGAGTAAAGAAAATTGACTGATTCATAAAGATGGTTAATATTCAGTTGGTGTGAATATTTCTGATTCTTTTATGCAAATCATATATTTTATACCACTGATAAACATGCGTAATACCTTAATAAAAAAAAAATATGTGGCTTAACACGAAAGTGCAATTATGTTAATTTGTTTTCTGTTTTCTCTTTCCCAGGTATCCAAGGACATTGCAAAACGACAAGCTTGCAATACCTCCGTGATATTGCAGGATATTGCAAAACTGCAACTGAGATGTCTTTGAAGTTATTAAGAACGTGATTGAATAGTATTTTAAACATCCATTTGGAATGTTCATTCGGGGTAAAATGTCCCCCAGAAACCGGCAGTGAGGAGATAGTGAGAAAGACCAAAGAAAGGCAAGAAAAGGTGGAAAGGAAAGGAGAGAAGAGAAATAAAAGTGATAATAATAAGTGAAGAGAAGAAGAGTTTCTCGTGTCTTAGATGGTGGTTGGGACGTGACCTGGCAGCCAGAATGGACCCTCCGGTGCTGCTCCCGCTGGTGTTCCTCGCCCTCGCGCCCTTGGCCGCTTGCCTCCAGACAGGTACGTGTGTGTGTGTGTGTGTGTGTGTGTGTGTGTGTGTGTGTGTGTGTGGTTATGTATTCTCCCATTATCCTTTTCATTTCATTATTT